TTCCAGAAACCAGCAGGTGTGGAACCAAAAGTAACTTGTGTTCTTACTGGCTATTGAAATGCTGTCCATGAGATTACTGACTATTCCCCATCCCAGATGTTCTTGGGTGATGACTTGCATCTGTCCTGTGATGTGTTGTTTGGTTGCCCTCTGAATGCACCTTCAGCACTGGAGGACATTCAACATCTTCGAAGTGTGTGAAGTGATGCACAGTTTTGCATGAGAGCAAGTCAGCTTGGGGATGGAGAAGAGGAAGACCTGATACAACCCTAGAACTGCGGGGCATTGTTTCAATGAAAGTGACATGGTGTGATTATGGAATCTTATTCAATGGAAAGGACTTTTTCCTAAACTGAAGTCACTTTGGTATGATCTTAAGCAGACTGAATGACATTCTAGTTCGGATTCGTAAGCCATCAAACTTTAAGCCTAAAGTCCTTCATTATGACAGTTTAGCCCCTTACTATGGCCAACGTAGTTCCTATGGGTATATAATGTAAATCTAAGAGTGTGGTTTTATTTGTATACAAATTCGTAAATGCATGCTTTATTTATTGATTTAGGTTTTGAGTTGTATGTTATTTATTGAAATTGTTATTTTAGTATTACATTGATTGTATTACATTAGTATTACATTGCATTGTATTAGTATAACATTGATATTACATTGATAGTTGTAGGTATGGCTACAACTAAGGAATACTAAGGTAATGCTACAACTGGGAAATAGGGATTGTGCTGCCTGGGACATGCAGTCCATGGGAATGGGGCTATGTTACGAATTTTGTATCTATATAAATAACTGTAGTTAAATTGTAGTATGTCTTGTATACTGTAACATAAAAGATCTCAGAAATGCAAAGCTTTTTGCAAAATAATACCAAACCAGTGATTGTTTTGGCTACTAAATTTTCTTGGCAAATTTTGTGAGAAATTGAGAATATGCAAGATAAAAGTCCGATTTGTTGTAGCCTCCGAGTTCCCTTTTAGTTTGACTGTTCTCTTTTATTTTAATAATAGTAATGTGTAGTAAAATTCTCTGAAATGCATGATTATTCCTTGTCATCTGGTTCTTCGATAACATCCATGATGCATTTACTTACATAATGCAGGGTCTTTCATCTAAAAGTAATATTAAAATTTATAAACTGAAACTTTAATCAACCAATGGAATTAAGCTGAACCATAATTTCACTGTTTGTAATGTAATATTTTTTGTAATTAACACTTTGTTTCCCACTTGCATCTGTCCATCTGGGACTTATTTGTTGCTATTTTTACTACCTTGTATAAAGTAAAGGAAGTATTGTAATCATGAAAAATTCTGGGTATCATATTTCAATGAAAATATCCATTTTGACTGCTATCAAATGCAGTTTAATGATGTTTTGCGTGACATCTGTACATAAGGACAGGGTAAAGGACTCTTCCCCCCCCCAAATAGATTATAAAATTGATTTAAAATGGATTCAGAAGAGATTTTTTTTCGTGGCATCTGTACATACGTACCTATGTATGTAGCGTAACTCAAAAACGAGTAGCCTCAGAACATTGAAATTTTGTATACAGGACTGCTATAACAGGTTGTTGTGCACCTCTCTTTTTGGTTGTAATTGGGCAGACCAAAAGTACTTAAATAAATATATATATATGTATGTACCCACTGTTTTACTTGGCTTAATGAGCTCAGTGTTTTACTTCCTTGTACGAAGTAAAGGAAGTATTGTAGTTTGCGAAAAATTCCGGGTATCATATTTCAACGAAAATATTCATTTTGAAGGCTATTGAATGCAATTTAACGATGTGTTTGCATGACATCTGTGCATAAAGACAGAATAAAAGACTACTCCTTGGACAGAATAAAAGAATTATAAAAATCATTTAAAATAGATTCACAAAAAATTTTTCTGTGATGTCTGTACATGTATGTATCTATCTCGCATAACTCAAAAATGAGTAGCCTCAGAACGTTGAATTTTTTTATATGGGACTGCTATAACATGTAATTGTGCACTTCCCTTTTTGGTTGTGATCGGCTGCAGCAAAAGTATATATATATATCCACTCTGTTACTCGGCTCTGTGAGCTCAGTTTTCTTTATTCTTTCTTATATGTTGGTAAATTGTGCATTTTTTGCTTTAAAAATTATTAAATTATGTTGTTTTTATTTCCTGGTTAAGGTTTTTATGCATTTAATTAATCTGCATGCGATAGTTGTAGAATTATCAACAATTTAAAAGTTAGACTAGAAGAGAAACACGCTAATGTGACAATCAAAATTGTAAAAACAACCTTGTATTTAGCGTAAGTATAATGAAACACTCAATCGATTTCGAGGGCAGCTAAAGGTCCCTCCTCATCAGGAGAAAGAAATACCTAGAAAGAAGAAAATAAAGGAGAAGGAGTCTCAGAAACACATGGTCCTTATTAAGATATCTTGAGGCTTTATATATTTTTGCTTTTCTATGAAGTGAGAACTGAATTAACTGAATGAAATATATATCTCTAATGAGTTTTGAGGAAATAATTTTAAATGAAATGCAGGAAATTATGCATAATAAATGCATATAATGATGCTTAAATGATATGCATATAATTTAATATTCCATATAAGGAAGTCATGTAGTGTTTGCATCAGATATTTTGTTTAGTTATAATGCTCCATATGTGAAACCTACTTGTGAAATTGTGGAACATTATATGCATTTGTTTCTGTTGCTTATATTGCTATGTTGTTTTGATTATTTAATGAAATTGTATCTAAAAATGCTCAACAATCATCCAGCATCATAAATTCTTCTCATTTTCTATATTATTACTTGTGTAATATTCTTATTGTATATTGTGTCTGGTTTTAACAAAAGTTTCCCACCACCACAAACATTGCCTGCACAAATAGTTCCCGCTGGTATGTTTAATCATATTTTGCCAAATGATTTTTGGCATTTGAAAGAAAAGGGACTTGCTTTAAAACACTGTGTTGTGAAATTTGTAAAATATATGTATATGTTATCATTAAATACAAGGTGTTTGAAATGGAATTATCATTCTATCAGATTAGAACCATCATTTACTGTATTTGCCGCTGTATAAGATGCACTTTTTTATGCCGATACTTATTTCATATGATACGTCGTTTGTGAATGGGACAAAGCTTCATGGGATGCTGTGAAAACAAAGACAGTGGTTAAATCATTTAAGAAGTGTGGCATTATTAATACACTGGATGGTACAGAGGACAATTTGTTGTATGAGGACTCAGATGCTGATTTAGAAGAGGTTTCAATTGACTCTTCATTTAGCTCTGGAGATGAGTGTCTGGGTTTTGACGAAAGTGATTGAAAGGTGTTCTTTCCTAGATAGATTGGGTATTTGAAGAAAATATTACTTTGTATTTGTATTATTTTATATTTAAAATACTTAAATACTTTAAAATACTTAAAAATTAATTATAATGATCAGTAATAAAAGTTTTATCTTTCAAAAATGTGCATAAAAAACGGGGTGTGTCTTATATGCCGGCAAATATAGTACTTCCAATCCTATTGCACAAAGTCAGCTACAGAATGTCACGAAATCATGTGTACATCTTTAGGTACTAATGTTGTATCATATGACATTGTGAAGGTTTGGTACCAAAAGTTCAAAAACAAGGACGTTCCAGAAGCAGAGCACTCTGGCTGGGCTATTGATGTTGATAAAGCCTTACATGCAAGAAATTGTGGACGAAGATTGATATGCAGCCACTCGAGAGCTTGGTGAAGAGTTAGATGTTAGTATCATGTTCATTAGTCGTGCTATGCATCACTGCTATCAAGGAAAACTATCACAAGAAGGCAATGTTCTATCTGGGTAATGCAAGATCACGTCTGCATTCACCATGTACGGACTCAAATGGGATCTTTTGCTACACCCACCATATAGCCCTGATATCGCTTCTTCGGACTTCTGCCTTTTTCATATCTGCAGCTACATCTAGTTGGTGCTATCTTCCATTCTGCAGAGGATGTCAGAAATGAGATTGATCTGTTTTTTAACTCGCCAGCCGCCAAGTTTCTGGGCTGAAGGCATTGAGAAACTACCAAAATGTTGGCAGAAAACCATAGGTTTAGTTGGTGGTAACTACCCACACTAAATAAGCTTTCTCTTTTTTCCCCCTAACTTTATTAAGAAAGTTTTTTGGCAGAAAACTTTTGTTACAACTAGGTGTATAACAGTGTCACAAAATTAAAAAATAAATAAATAAATAAATAAAGTAACATTCTTACAGAGACAGATTTCTTATTAGAAATTGCTTAAGTTTACTTTTTGATGTGTAAAAGGTCTTTTTAATAGCCATTTATTTTTTACATTAATAAGTATCCATTTGGCAATTGTTTTTGATTAAATTTATGGTGAGTCATGCTGGTTAAATTAAGTGTTTAAACCACCAAAAAATGAATAGGAAAAAAAATTTTGTTTTCCTTTTCATTTTTACTCAGTAGCTAATTTTGTAAAAAATGTGAGAAAACCGCATCAATTTTAAGTTACATAAAATTCATCCTAAGATTAAAGAGGATTTTAAAAAAACCTTTGTGCATTAAAAAAGTGTTCTGATGTGTGTGCCTTCAAAATGCATGGCAGTTTTTCAACAAATAGTTGAAGAATGGTAACTGATTTCAGATATCTGTAGAAATTAGTGGACTTTTTTAAAAATGAGCATAGATGTAAAATTTTGCCTCAGTTGCATTTTGAATATACCAGTGTTTTGGAAAAATATTGAATCTAATATTTACAGATCACTAATAATTATCCTTGAAATTTATGCACATCTAACTTTTAAAGTGCATCTTCATTAATTCTTGTCATTGAATGCTAAAAATAAATGCAGAAAAATGTTTTATTAATGAAAATCAAGGTTACAAATTAATATTAAGTTTGACAGTGTAAGGTTTCTTATTTTTAATAGTCTTTTTTCCTAAAAAAAGAATGTAAAAACTAATTTTTAATTCTTTTGTCAGATTTTGACAACAGTATATGCTGGTTGTGGAGCGATGGTTTTTGTTCTGGTAAGTTTGATTATTTTAAATATTAGAAATGTGAATGAAATTTCAGTTTGTTACATCGATTAGTACTGAGTAATATATTTATTTGCCAGACACAGATTAATGCATTTATTGTATATCTTCCATAAAGAAACATTTGTGTGATGTAGTTTGTATTTTTTCTTTCCTTTTTTATTTATTTTATTTTATTTCTTCCATAAGTATTTGCAATAATCATGACTGATATTTTTCTTCAGTGTTTAATACTTTTGTTCAATTTGTGTTTTAGCCTTTTGTATTTTTTCACTGTCTTGATTGTAGCATAACTTTGTAAGGAATTAAATTATTTCCATCCAAATTCCTTTGGATGCAGTATTGAATAATTTAAGAATGGTTCTCAAAAAGACTGAAAATATTGAAGCGCTTGGCAGGAACCAATGCGGGGTAGTTCCCTCTCCACTCTCAACGTTACTTATAAAACCTTTATGTTGCCATTTTTGCCGCATTGTTGCAACCCATGTACAACAATGTCTGATTCTCTGCTTCAAAAGCGAGAAAGTCTACAGAACAAAGCATCTTATCAATGGTGCAATAAGGCTTATCAATGGTGCAGTGAAACCCATGCTGTACTGATACAGTGTTGTTTTTGTTACACATCCATTCAAAATATTTTTCAAGAGACAGCTTCAATTCTTTTTGAAAAAATTAATTAAACTTGAGGATACTTTTTGGAGGAATTATCAACTCAATAGAAACCTCAAGTTCCAGGATGGATTTGCCAGAGAGTTTGGGCCCATAGAGAAATCTTTGAATTTAATGAAGTGCATCTGGTTGGTCTGTAGAACTGTTCATGAACAGATGGGTCTGTTGGCAAATTTTAATTTGACTTGGCTCATATAATATTTCACCAGATATACTAAAATGTATTACTTTGGAGATAATCGAGACTCAATATCCTGCAACTAAATTAATGGCTGCGTATTTAAACAGATGGATCACAGCTTTCAAGGCATGAGAATGTTGGAGCTAGTGTTTTCTCAAAATTATTTTCTTTCTATGCACCAGCTAGAAAGTATGGGTACTGCCTTTGATGGTGAAATGAAGGCGATCCACATCGCTCTTGAATAGCTAATTTGCCATCTGGACAGATTTTAAAATGTGGTATTACTGTCAGGTTCACAGGCTGCCATTCAATCCATCAGTTCTGTTTAGGCTGCACTATCATAACAGATTTCCCATTGTCAAGAGCTGCTGATTTCCTTGAGGTCTTGGCATAATTGTTGTTTTGCAGTGGATCCCTGGCCTTTGTAATTTACATGCTAATTATCAAGTAGATTTTCTTGCAAAAAAATCATGCCATTACACTGTCAAAAAGTGAGAAATCTCTTCCCTCACCTCTAAAACTATTGACATGACATTTTGTGCTGTCGATGTAGGATGAACTCCTGTGCAAAGTTGAAGCCATATATGGAAAAAATTCTCTTTTAGATTTACTTGATAAACCAAGGTATGAGGCAGTAATTACTTTTCAAACTTTTTGATATTGTTTCTACTACTTGTATTTATTCTTTTTCCCCCATCTGCTTCTTTTATTCTATTTCTGCTACTTTTTTTTATTCTTGTTAATGTGCCTTGTTATTGCAAATTTTAAAAAAGAAAAAAAATGTATTTCCTTCCATCTGTTTCAGTGGTGCTGTGATTATCGTATCAATCCCACACAATGAAAGATACCATGTTCAACTCTGGTTGAGGCTACATTGAAATTTCAGTGTCATGATAATAATAGGAATGATATGGGAAAAGAAAATTCTATTAAATTTCAAAGAATAGTCATTCGATCACAAATAAAAATTAAAGACAGTTTAATGTTATGCTTCTTATTGTAAATGTGTAAATGGTTTTTTCTGTTAGTTCTGTTTTTCAGATTCATCATTTCTGTATTTTGTGTAAATTCATTTTTCATTCCTAATGTTATCTTGTTTGTGAAACTTCCCCACTTTTTTTAAATTCTGTTTGATATTCATTATAATTACAGTATTCTATTTTTGTACTAGATTTCTTTTAAACATTTTTACATAAGCTTTTCTGAAATCTGAGAATATATCCATCTTAATGGGATATTACTTTTCCTGTGTGCAAGATCAAAGATGCAGCTGCTTTGAAGACTGACTTTGATATATGTATGTCATAAAACTAAGTTGTATTCGAAATCCTTACACTATCGTAATGCAAGCAAATTATGTGCAGTTTTTTCATATATCAAAAGAAGGTTCATGTAGTCCTTTAAAATCATTAATTTCGGCCAAAATTGGGAAGAAGTCCTTAATTTTGCTCATCTGAGACTTTTGTTTCTTTTTTTAATGACTGCAATTCTACATGTAAATTAACATTTTGGATCAGTATGTAATTCAGATCAAGTTACACATAACAGAACCTTAGTAAATTAGTGTTGTAAACAACAAGGAACAGTCGGATGTCTCGAAATGAAAGTTTCTGGATTCCTAATTGGTTGCTCATCTAAAATAAGTTTTGTCAACAAGAATACTATCATTCTGCAATGAAAAAAAAAAAAGCTTCTTGAATTTTGACCTAAGCTTTATGGTCATGCTTTGAAGCATGGTCTATGACAAAACTTTTGACATTCTTGTAGGTTACACAGTGACATATACGTGACCTTTCAAATCAAATTGTGAACCACATAAAGATCAGGCTTCTACCCTCTATTATCAGTGTATTCAAAAATTTTTTAAAGCTGTGGGCAAAATGTGTGAATAAGGCATTTGAAAAGCCAGGATGATATTTTGACTATGTTTCTTAAACTAAATCTGTTGAGAGACAAATGTTTATGAAAAGAGTTTGAACTGTCCATGCACTAGGAACACTAAGAAAAATGCATATCTGCTAACTTTTGTGAATTTATGAAAACGGTTCTAGTTTTATGACATTACCTATGGAATTAATTTTCTAGAGGTTTCCAAAATTGCCAGTTTGATAATTCATTGCCAAATAGGTATTTGATTCACATAACATTTGGCAAACATTCAGGATATTATTTAAATTTGTTCTTTTAATCTAGCAGAAAGAACCTTTTACTTTTAGTAATAGCAATTCTTTTGTTATGCATCACTAAATTTGGTGACTTATATCAATCACTAAACTGGAGATTTATTTTGGAAATTTTTAAATAAATTTGTCTTTAAATTTTTTTATTTAGAGGTGCATGTATATTTTTTACTTGTATAATAACAAAGATATCATTAAATAACAATATTAAAATTGTATCAGTATTATTAAACATTCACAATAATCAAAATCGTAAAAAAAAAAAATCGTAAAAAGCTTATGCAAAAGAATGTTTAATATTCACAATAATATTAAACATTCTTTTGCATAAGCTTTTCTGATGAAAATTGTATTTAAAAATATCAAAATAATGGATTTTTATTCTGCACTGTTACTTTAAAGTGCCTTCGCCTTTCATTTTGGTAGTTATTCTGAAAAATAATAAAAGATATTCATTATGAAGCACAGCTTTTAAATAATTTTTAACAAAATTTATTTAAATTATTGAAGGTAATTGTATATTATTAAATTATTAATTATTTTAAAGTTAATTTCATTTGTACTATTATGTGTACACAATTCATTTGTGCAATTTCATGTGCATCATATTCATAACTGGATAAGAATTTAAAGTGTATTAATTATTAAGGAATTTAAATTCAAAACGGATTTATTAAAATCTCAATTATTTTAATTCTCAGATTTTTGGAATTCTGAATAGCCCCCCTTTTTTTTAATAGAAAAGAAAAAGTGAGGGGTTATCATTTGCTACTATTTGCAAAGAATCAATCAAACAGAATTCATCTTAGGTGTAACTCTGAAAAGAAAGAAATGTCTGGTTGCATTATTTTTGGATGACTTGTACTTTTTAAATGATTAATATCAACTTGAATTTGCTAAATTAACTTGATTTCAATATGAAGGCTTGCATACTAAAAATCTCATTTATTTATTATCTTTGAGTGCAAATTTGAAAATTTCGCTTTGTCTGATTGTTGTTATATTTAGTTTTTAGCATATGATACCCAGATGTTGATGGGAGGAAAGAAACATGAGCTGAGTCCAGAAGAGCATATCTTTGCTGCAATGCAGATTTACCTTGATATTGTTTACATTTTCATGTTCCTTCTAATGATTATGGGATCTGGAAGGAATAATTAGTCATTTACGTTATGGTAATAGTAGTGAATAGAAGGTGTGCATGTTAATTATTTTTATAACATTTGTCTTTTGTTTTAAGTTTATATGTTTTTAATTTTTTATATTGTGTGTGCTTGTTTATATATATGTAAGATATAACAAAGTATGAAAGCTGTTTCAAAAAAAATAATAATAATTGGCGACCTCAAAATTAACATTCTAAATTTGGTGATCTGCCCCTAAATTCATCCCTTCTCACAGGTTCCAGATTTTTCTATCTTATGTAATGTTTTGATGCAGGTACCTCTTGTCCAATCAAATTAATTGTAAACCAAAACTCTGAATTGAAACTTCCCCACTCCCAACCTTCTTTCTCTGAAAGTACTATAACTTTTCCCCTTTTTCACATAAGCTTTCCTACTGGCAAGATGCTTTTAATCCCATGCTGCTGCCGCTTACATGCTTAAGGTGACATCGTACTTCAAAATGCAACTTCTGTATTCAAATATAATTAGGAAACATCTTATCTGCAAAAGTATGGTTTGATTTGTACGTAAAAAAAAAATAAAGATTGTGATTTTTCAAGATATGTTGTGCTAAATTGTTCCATCATGCTTTCCATTCTGCCACACAACGGTCTTCTTGGACATCTACGCATTTTAAAGTCATTACAAGCATTTCTACGCAGGATCAAATCATTCATGTCACGTTGTCCAACCACAGTTTCATTACATATATAGTATATGTATAAATCATACTAATTGCCAAATGGTTAAGTTCCGATGGAATGTTTAAATGTTTTCATTTTTGGGAAAAAAAGTCACCCCCCTTTTTTATGTAAACAGCATCTAGGGCATCTATTTTCCTAATAACTTTTAGATTGTATAACCATTAGCAATAATAGTAAACTAACCATCAACAATGAGTTGAATTGGCAATTACCTTGAGAGTTATGTTCTTTGTTTTGTAGTGAGGCACATGTTATTTATTTTTTGAAGCAATGTTTTTCTGTGAAAGCCATGTAACAGAGTATAAATAAATTTAGGATCTAAACCTATTCCTTATTTATATTGTTCTTGAAACATTAGAAATAAATATTAATTTTTTGGTTGCTTCTGAATTGGCTTTTAGTTTTCCACCACAAATGCTGAGTTTCTGAGCTCCATTTCTGTTCTTGGAGTATATCAGATAATCATAGAACCATAACATGGATTAAATACTGAAGCTTCTATTAGTTTTATTTTTTCATTAAAAGTCAGTGTTTTCTCTGTTCTAAAAATCATTGAGAATATTTTCATGAAAACCATGCACTGATAACATGATCAGTGCATTTATTTTTAGCATCTTAGTGTTTTTTTTAATAAATTATCTTCATTACTATAAAAAACACATATATTTTAAAATAGGTTTTTTAAAGCTGAAATTTTTGGCATTTCAACTAAATCAAGTTAAAATTTTTTTTAAATGTTATCTTCATCAAAATAATGTACTATCTTTTCATTCACGTGCAAGTAAAAACTGTAATGCTTTATGCTTAAGAAAAGATATTTTTTTGATAAATAAAAGGTCATACTTGTTACTCTGCCCAATCTAAAGTGCAAAGGTCACATAGAGATCTCTTAATAATTAAACTCTAAATTAAAAGCTCAAAACTGATGCTCTCTGCAATCTTATATAATTTTCCCCCATCATATGGGAAATTTCTAATACTTTGCCTTTCTCAAAATTACTGGAAGTCATATTCAGTTACAGTTACATATAATGGCAGGTAGAGTTGCAATTACATATAGGGATCAATTATGTTTATGCAGGGATTAGACGAAAATATTGCCAAGTTGAGCAATTTCTCCCAAATTTGGCGAAAAGTTAATCGCCAATATCAGCAGTTTAACAAGACGGCTATTTAGCTCAATGTTAAATAGACCTTCCCCTGTAATCATATTTTTCAGGTAGAGCTTCAGTTTTTCTAGGCACTTCATATAAAATTACGCAAGAGATACTATAATTTTGTATATCATTTCACTAAAATTAACTACATATGTACAAAATTCATAACAATATAAATTATTTTGTTAAAGATCTTCTGTTGGTGTAATAAATTTTGTTTTGTATATATTGATGCCACTGATAATTTAAATTATTGTGTTGTTTTCTCCTTGCATTTCTACAGTACTTACCGTAATTTTCGGAAGAAAGGCTGCATCAGCGTAAATGCCGCATTCGAGAAAAATTTTTGGAAAAAACATTAAAATTGCACAGAAAAGCCGCAATAGATTAAATTGCACGTGACATTGTCGTGGGCCGTATAGATGCAAAATCTCAACCTAAGTTGACATATCAGTTAAGAAAAATGCATGAAATGAAACCATAACTCAAAAATAAATTAAAGGTAAGAAATGTTGAAAATATATTTACGTTCACGTATTTACTTATATTTACCCACTAAAGATGTCCATATTTGTAATACTCAGACTATATTATAAAAAATGCTGCAACAACGAAGTATTAAATTTGGATGACAAAAGGAAATTTTAAATTTTACTTACAAAAGGAATTACAGCAAACTATACATCATATGAAGCCATCATAATCTGATTCTTCACTATCTGAATCAAAAAGATTTAATAAATCGTGATCTAAGTCCAAGTCTTCCAGATTGTCACATTCATCCTCTTGGTTTAGTCTCTTTATCTAATATAATTTCAGCTTCTTTGAACCCTGCTATTATTGACGATGTTTTTACCGATTTCCACGCACTTCCTACCCACTTTGCAACTTCTTCATAAGATGCTCTACGCATTTTACCGCTTTTGGTATATGTATGCAATCCTTCACTCATCCAACACTCCCACCGCTTTCGGACTTCAGCTTTGAAGGATTTATTACCTGACAAATCTAATGGTTGTAAGATTTTTGTCAAACCACCAGGAATTATTGCTACGGTCGTAGACAATTTTTGACATCTGACATCTGGTTTTTCACTGACTCAAGTAAATGAGCACGCATGGAATCCATTCTCAATAACCCTTTTAGTTGGAAAAAAGATCCCTTTTAGTTGGAAAAAAGACACTGCCACAGTTTTTGTAGCCACTCATGCATGATTGTTTCACACATCCAGCTGTTCTCATTTGCACAAATAATTTTGTCATTAGGAAAATCTCCCTTCGGAATACTCTTTCGTTTAAAAATGATCATTGGCTTTAGCTTTTCACCGTTTGTGGCACAAGGTAACACACATGTAAATGACGTTCTTTCATGCCTCGTCGTAAGCACAGATACAGTTTTTGCACCAGTTTCATCAACAGTTCTGTTTGCAGGAGAGTCGAAAGCTAACGGTATTTCCTCCATATCTATCATCTGTGACTGAAGAAGTTTTTTTTTTTTGTCAATAATATCTGCCACATATTTTAGAAAAGATGCCTTTTTATCCTGCCAGTCCATTGGTAATTGTTGCCTGACTGTTGTTCTGGTACGCACAGAAATATTTTTTCTTTTCATAAATCTGCTGCACCAGCAAGGCCCTCTTTTGAAATCATTTATGTTCATTTGTTTTGCTATAAATTTTGCTTGTGAGCGAATTTTTACAGTCGAAATTGCCATTCTCTTTCCTCGCTGCTCCTTTATCCACTTTGCAAGGTCATTCTCTAGATTCGGCCACCTTACAGTACCACTTCTTTTGGCTCATTTCTGTTGTGGCATATTTTTAAGAAGTTCTTTTTCAGTTCTCCAATGTCGAATACATCTCTCGTCCACTTCAAACTCTCAAGCGGCTGCTCTATTTCCAATTTTTTTAGCACGTGAAATTACATTAAGCTTAAAACCAGCAGTATAGCTTCTGTGCCGTTTAGGTGCCATTTTCAAAAATTTTCCACTCCCTTCTTACTTAAAAACTATCCAACAAGTACTTGTACCCAAACTGATAAGATCTGTATCTGGCAGAATGCCAAGAAAAATCGATTCATGCTGAAGGGGAAATATGTCAGAGTTTGTTATTGAGAGGCAGGTGGAGTCGTGTCCGCCTTTGAAAAAAATTCCAGAAAAGGCAGGGGTGGGGAGAGGATGGGTTCTGAGGTATTCATCGAATGGCAGAGGAGAGAGACTATTCAAACTGATGAGAAAGTTAATTTGAAAGGGGGAAGGATGTTATTGTTCTGAGATCCCATATAGGGTGAATAAGGCATGTAGGGAAGAATGTAAACAAAATAACGTTCGCAAAAAGCAATTGAGTGGTCTTTTGTGTTGGAACAGCACCAGTCTATATACAGTGACAAGGCCATCCAAACTATTTACAATGACCATCATAGGAAATATTTTATTTTTAGTGCACTTAAAAGCCACATGGGTAGAAACGCCGCTCCCGCTGAAAATTTAAGTTTTAAACACGTAAACGCCGCAGCGTTTCTTCCGGAAATTACGGTAATTTCTATGTAAAATCTCTTTAAGAAATGCTGAAGCACTGAGCCAGATTTTAGCATTTTAATTTGCACATTCTTAATCTTGCTGTTCAAAAAATTTTTTTCTCGGATAATAAATCAAGCAGTCATGGAAGAAATTTATTTTTTCTTAGCCGTCTTGCTTTGGTATGTAATAATAATTCTGGCTGTCCTTCACCATGTGGCAGTTGGAAGAGATGCCATCTTGGGGAATTTCCTTGAATGGAATTGACAATTTGAATGCTACATCCATTATTTCTTTTGTAATAAATCTATTACTGGCTAGCACTTGTTGGTGAATTATGTTGTGGTAGCTTTAAAAAAAAAAAAAAAAAAAAAAAGTGAGTTTCTCAATTTTTTGCATTACAGTTGTAAATCCATGTATGTAACCTTTCATTGCTCACACTCTATGTGTTACTATTGAAATTCATTAAAAAAGTGGTAGTTTCAAATTAGAGAAGAAATTTTCAATAATGTTGAATATCTGCACCTCTAAGTCCAGTATTTAAAAGAAATCATACCCAAGAATTCTTTAAATGTGCAATCTTTAAAAGCCATGCAAATAAAAATATCAATTGTGCTGGTTCTCTTACATTTGTCAATTCATCAGATTAATGGGAAAAACAAAAACATCTGTTAATCTCTGTATATAACTGTTCTATAATACTTTCACTCATTTTGTCAATCTGCCTCATCGCATTTTTTCGAGACAATTGTAGATTTTTAAAATTGCAGCAATAATTTTGTTTTTATAAATTGGGGAAAAATAGATCAGATACTTCCAAGAAAGTTTCTTTTATAAATTCTCCATCCAAAAAAAATGGTTTGCTTTTTTTTGGGGGGGAGGGGCTAAAAATTATTTGCTTTGAATGATGTGGTAGTCACTTCAAATGATTTCAACAGGGACTTTTTTAAAAACATTTTATTGATTTCTTAAATAAGCCTGAAGATTCCTTATTTTTCTCCCTCTCAAGTCACTATTTTGTTGATAAGCTATTTATTATATAAGGTGTTGATACTATATAAAGGTATAAAATGCCTTTCCAGATTATAATCTGTTTAATATTTGTTAAGTAAAAGAAATATCTCTGTAGATTACCCTATTTAGTAATGCCTAGGGAGGCATATTAATGAACAGCATTTACATTAATATTTGTAAAAAATGCAATCAAGTTCCCATTCTTCATGAAAAAGAGAAGTCTTCAATTTTTTTCATTTATTACTCAATTTAATGAGTTCTAAAATGCAAAGGAGTACACAAATTAGACAGTTTTAATTTAAAGCATAGAAAGAATATACTTACATTTTTGGACAGGAATGGAAATTGGAAAAATTGACACTTTTTCTAGAAATAATAATATAGTGTTATTACTATGATGAATATTATATTGTTGGGTCATCCAGAAAATTCTGCATTTTTTGTTAATGATCAATATAAATGAAGTAGTGCAAAAACATAAAATTTTATTGAATCACATGAGAACCACTTTGTTCTGTGATTTTTTGTCATCTCTTCACCAGCTGGAAAATTCCTTTTTAAAAGAGTCATTAGATTTATTTCTAAAGAAATTATTGGGGTGCTGTTTGCAATCTCCAAAGAAGTGAACTCTAGTCCATTCAGAGTATTTTAGCATGACCTTAATTTAAAACATGTACTTTCATTTAGGATAGTGTAATATGGAAAGAATGTGCTTACCTTTTTGGACAGCTGTATTGTTAAAAAAAAATTGACACTTTTTTTAGAAGTACTATTACAGTGTTATTACTATGCTGTTGGGTCATCCAGAAAGTTCTGCATTTTTTAAAATGATAAATACAAAAGAAGTAGTGCAAAAATATAAAATTTTACTGAATCACGTGAAAACCATTTGGTTCTGTATATATATATATATATATATATAGCTGGCAATAATTTCTATATATATATGAGAGAGAGAGAGAAATTATTTCCAGCTATATATATATATTTCAGTAGCTGGAAAATTTTTTTAAAAAAACGGTTCTTTAGATTTATCCGTAAAGAAATTATTGAGGTGTTGTTTGACAATCTCCAAAGAAGTGAACTCTAGACATTCAGAGTATTTTTAAGTGACCTTAAGAGATGAAAATCTGAGGAGGCATGGTCTGGTGAATGTGGAAGGTGACACAGAACAAACATGCCAATATGCAGTAAGTCTTTGTGTGATATTATAACTGCCATTTAGAAACTAAATTTTTCATGATTTATTGCCTTTTGTCAACAACTCATAGTATGCAATTCCTTTGTAGTCTCACCACAAAGCATTATGTTATTAGGATTTAGCTTTCTTCTTGATGTTATTAGAGAATGCTGTTCTGGCTTATTCCATGATACTTTTATTATAACATTAGTTTATAATATACAGTTCTCATCTCCAGTAATCCTGTTTCAAGAAGGAGCTACTTACCCCCCCTCTCTCTTTCAGCAAAGAATTGTGCCAGAAATTGAGCAAATGAACTCTGCTCTGTTACAGGATGAGCTACCCATACATTGTAGCATTTTACATTACCAGTTTTCTTCAGTTAATCGTGTACTAAACTTTTGGAATATTTAGTCTGTCTGATATTTCCTGAACTGTGTAATGTAGATTTTTTTCAATAGATTCAATGTAGGTTTCTTTTTATAGGTCCTTGTTTACAGAGGGTAATCGTTCAGAGCTGGGTGGAATTTTCGTATTTTCCAAACCACCTTTGAACTGTGTCATCAAAAACATTTCATCCAGAATAAAGTACAGATTTTATGAGCAATCTGTCTAGCATTTTCCACTTTTGAAAATAAAAGGCCATAATATGGTGGAAATTAACATTTAGGTTCCACTTCATTGAAAAACAAAATATGCTCAACAGGTGCTTACACAACATGAACAGAAAAGACCATATTTAAACATTTGCTTCATTGAAGGTCACTCAGCAGTAACAAAATAATTAGGGGGGATGCTTGCTTGATTTGAAAAACTACAAAAATACCTGGATCACCTAATAAGCAAAGAACACAGGGATGTCAGCTTATCTATTGTTATACCAAGGATTAAAAGAGTGCATAGATTTCATGTTGGACAGCAGGTGATGTAGGATGCCACACCCTCACTCATCACCATCAGTGCTGGATGGTCTGTCAGATACGGTACTAAAAGAGCCATGACCACTTCTTTTTGTGAGTCATGACTAAGTTGCATTGGCATGTTGAAATTATTTCCTGTTAGCTGTGGTTGACCCAAAATTACTTCACAGTCAACTTATGGTGCACTAATTCTTTAACTCTTACCTCTTTGTGAATATGCGTATATTACACATGTGCATATGCATTCTGGCAGTGTTGTTAATTCAAAGATAAATACAATGCATGCTATTTTCTATTAATATTCATGAAGTCACATAAATTGGTTATTTTTTATTTAATACTTATTTAATGTTTGTATTTAAAATCATAGGAAAACATACAAGTGAATATAAAAATAATTCATAAAACTTGTTTATTGTAATGTATTTTTAATAGGTGCTGTCGGGAAATCTGTTGTTGAAGCAGAAAGCTGTTGTTCATTACTTGTTCTCTTTCTATATGTACACATACGTAAAATGCTTTCGTAAATTTCTGTAATTATTTTCTGTAAGTAGTCAATTATTGTATTTGGAATTTTAATCTGTTTAAAATGCTAATTGCTAGTTAAGTTGTCATAGTTTTTGTTTCAGTATTAAGAGCATGAAAAATGCTCTGTTAATTTCATGCTCTTTTTGCCATGACATTCACTTTTTCTTCTAATAAAAATGTTTAATTCCAAAAAGGAAAATGTCTTTTTGCAAAGTTGTTTTTTTTTTTTTTTTTTTTTTTTTTTTTTTTTTTTTTTTTTGTGTGTGTGTGTGGTGTGTATGTATGCTTTGCATTTTGAAATATAATTTATATTATTGCAAATAGTTTTCTTTATTTAAATATTTTTATAACAAGATTATTATTCAGTTATTTAAACTTTTTATTTGTACTAATTAAATCATACTACCTTTTACGATGAACAAAAAAAAAATTGCATTACTTAAAAAATTGAAAAAAAGGCCGCATTTATTTATAAGTTACATATTAGAACTAAAGTTTTACAGATTTTTTTATCAATCTATGAGAATTTAAAGCGTTTGTAAAAATTTGCCTGTCGGTTAAATTTTCAGAAGCAGTTATTAATTGTATGATTTGGTATTTAATAAAATGTATTTTTTAAGATTTAGCTTTTGTTTAATACTTTCCCAAATAAATTATATCTTTAATATGTATATAAATGAATTTTTTGGCTATGATTTGTATAATTCTGGTTTAGTTTGTAAAGACTGATTGTATTGTTTTATTTTGAATTTATTATGTTAATCCAGCCATGAGGAATAAAAGTTGTTTCCCACCTTTACACAGTTTTGTGTAGTTTATTTTATTTCAGTGGCCTGATAATTGTGACTTAATTCATTCATTGGGAAATGACAATACGCATCAGTCATTTAGCCGTCTCTTCACAGGAAAGTTGACCAAGGACCCCTCTATTGGGCAATTGATTTTACACGTATGAGGATGAGAAAATTCAGTCCCAGTTTTAATGAGAACCCCTTGGGTGATGGATCCGAGATTTTTATCACCCCTCTTACTTTATGACCAAACATCTCGAGAGTACTGGCTCACCAGTACAGAGTTGCCAACTCTCCCGATTTTCGACCACTCTCCCATCAACCCAATTTACAATATATTTCTCCCGACTTTTGCTTATTCTTAAAATTTCTCACGATTTTTATGGAACTTGGCTTAATACTTTGTTATATGAACAACAAAAAAAAAGTGATTTTGGACGTCTGAAAGCAGTTGAATTTTCTCTAAATTATATCTAGAACAAAACCTTGCGAATCAGATAACTTCTGCTTTGTGAGTGAGAGCATATACGTATCCAGAAACGTCATTCTCTAGTTCTCCAATAGGCATTGAGTTATTGATTGCATTAAAACAGCTCCATTCTGCCTCTCTACAGATGAAAGCAATAATACCGATTCAAAACTGTATCCAATTGTTTCTTTTTTTAATCCAGAGTCTTCAGAAATTGAGTGCAGTTTACTTTCTGTCCTGACTTTAGAAGAGCATTTGACAGGCTTTAATATAGCTCAGCTAATTATTAAAACTTTAAAAGAAAATGCAGTCCCTATGGATAATTGCTTAGCACTTGGTGCCAATAGCAGCTGGAAAAGGGGCAGCTTCTTTACCAATAAATGTGGATGAACATATTGTTGATATTTATTATTATCTTGAAAGAAGTTCTAAAAAGAAGGAAAAAATTGAAACAGTTCCAACAACTTGGATAAATAAAAAAATTATTTTGTTATAAAATCAACTAGGATTGACAAAATCCACTGGGTGTCTATATAATGTAAATAAAGTTATAAAATCAACTAGGATTGACACCCAACGGAGTTTAATTGGAAAACTGAAAGGTGCTGATGGGATTTTAAAATATAGTGAACTGTGTAGAATTATGTTGGCCATCTTGACAGTTTCCCATAGTAATGCAGAGTGTGAGATGATTTTCAGTGTTGTTGCGAAACCGAGGACTAAATTTAGATCTAATATTAGTGATGACACATTAGGAAAACTTTTAGTCTACGTGGCAATTGCTATGAACAAAATTGTGAAGTTTCTTTCTTAAAGAAAGCAAAATCTGCCACTGTTTATAACATTTGTACAAAAACTGATTAAAGTGTCTTTTTTTTTTTTTTTTCCTCCTTGAACGATGCAAGTAATAAAAATGTATGTTTATTATGTGTAAGATATTTTTGTGTTGCTTGCATTTAAGAATTAGTTACTATTTAAAGTTAATTCATTATTAAAAACTTTATTTTTATCATTTAAAAAGGCTTTTTAACATTGTGAAAAATATTCTGATTTTTGAGTGTCCTAGGTTGGCATGTATGCCAGTATTTTGAAATTTGCATATGGCACCGACGCTATACATTTATAAACATTCAAACCAGAGACCAGCAATACAGCAGCCAAGAGCACAAACCTTATAATGATCAGGCCAGCTATATCATTTATGCCCGACATGGGAACTTAATAAAAAGTTTATCATGGATAAATTTTACTTAAATAAATATTGAATTACTCTCTACCATCTGACTTACTGGCTGCCAGATAAGTTTTTTGATTTTGTATTTTTACCGAAGCATGTGTCAATTGTTGCTGAGTTGTATTTGCACAAATATAATACCTTTCATGAATGCATTTAGTTTTCTTTTAAAATAGACTTTTACAAAAATATCAAAGCACGAAGAAGGACTTTTGCGATCGTGACAAAATTTGGTATGCAAAAACATGATCAAACATGCAAATGATCAAAGTTTCAAGGCAAACGAACAGGAATTGCGATCATAGTGTGCAATTCGCAAAGTATAAAACCAGTAACATGGGTAGAAAATGTTATCATTTTTGTTGCTGCCATTATAATTTCGTAAAGAAGCAACGAAAGATGCCATTACAACGATATCGAAGACCTTGCAGACAACTAAACGACTTCGAACGTGGTCACATTGTAGGGTTACGTGAAACTGGGTGGTTATACTGAGTAATAGGCCCCCACCTGCAGCGTACCGACACTGCTGTGCAAAGATGTTGACAGGAATGGTTGCTACAAGCAGGGGCGTAGCTAGAGGGGGCATCTGTTCCCGGGCGCAGAATCAAAGGGGCTCCAAACTGATGTTACGACATTATAGAATTAAATGTTTTCCATCCATGGCAAGCAGTAGGAGGCGCGAAATCTTCAGTTGTCCCTGGGCGCTGAAAACCCTAGCTATGACTCTGGCTACAGGGAAATTGCCGCCGAAACGAAGGGCTCTGAAATGCCAAGGAGCACAAACGCGAGGCAAGATAGGTTGATTGTTTCTCAGACCCGAACCGGCCCAATGGTATCATTGTCCACTATTCAACGCACAACAGTGATGTCTATACCTCCCGTGGTACCATCCACCATCTTACGGTGCTTGTTCTGAGGCGGGGTTACACTCACAGAAGCCTTTAAGACGTTACACAACATCGGCGGAGTCGTCTGAAGTGGTGTCACAGCCAATCATGTTGGCAGCCATCAGACTAGCATCGTATAGTGTTTAGCGCTTCACTGTTGAAGCAGATGACCACCATGTTCGTGTCTCGAGAGGACGGGGTCAGCGGTCCCAACAGCCTTTGTTTTACAAAGGCATACCATCATCTTAAAGTAGATGTATTTCAAGTATACCTGCAAAAAGAAATAGAATATTTTAATCAAAATTTTCTAGTATATACGTGAATTTACCTATTAGCGCATTTTGAAATTTGGCATATTCATTAAGTGATTATAATGCCAAATGTGGTTTGCCTATTTTGTTAAAATTATTTGAAATAATGAACGATTTCTTTTGTTAGTCTGTAGGCTAATTTTTTAAAAACTCGTGCAATTTTTACAAAGCCTGGAAGTTTGGCCTAATTTGAGTCGTAGAATTGAAATATGGAAAAATTAATATGTCATTTCGGAAAGGTCGGATTTTGTGTCAAAATACCTATATTAGAACAGTGATATATATAAATCTAATATAGATTCTAAGTCACGCTTTCGAGACATAAAAAACGCAGTTTGAATTTCGTCATGGCACAGTAGAACGAGAGATACAGAACTGCACCCCCCTTTTTTAGTGCAGAGTGGTAATTTGCCCAGAAGGACTATTTCATTTTGGCATTTTGTGTTGGAATGTCGGTTCACGTTTGGAATAGACGCCACCAAATATTAAGAGCCCTGTTGTATATTTAAAGAAATTAAGTAATGAAGAAGCTGCATAAATGTATGTATTGTTACATGCGTACGGGTTCGTTACGAATTTAATGCAGAAACCCGATGAAAAGTGAATAAAAATTTATTATTATCAGAACAAATAAAACAAAAGGCTTAAATTTCTTTAGAGATATTCATACAATATCTCCCAGTAGTTATCTTTTAAACCACTAAAAACGTTCAACATAATTCTAAATAGAGAAACGTAAAGAAAACTAATCCGTGAATTCGCTACAGTAAACAGCCGCAGTTTTCTAAATAAACTGGATCTGAGATCACGTGCTCTTGTGTTTTTAATTTTCCGGCCTAGCTTTCTCTTAATAATCGTCGCGCGCTGCACTGCATGGGGAATAAAACAATTTAATTTATAATTTTACTAACATTAGCTATTTAAATACCAAATCAGTAACACTGCCTGAATGACTGCACATCCTGGGTAGTACAATCCCTGGACATGAAGCCAAACTTACAACTGTGGCATAAATGCAATAATAAGCATTACAATAACAAACAACATAAACAATAAATACAATAACTAACTTAAACGAATCAAATGCTATCAAATACTAAATACAAGTCAAATCAAAACAACAAGGGCCATGGTCTTACAGTATGTACTATGGCCATAGTAATAATCTAACCTATCGTAATGAACGACTTTAGGTTTAGAGTTCGATGACTTACGGATACGAACCACAACGTCATTCGTCCTTCGTTCACGACGTCATTCATTTAGGACTGTGTACGGACCATCCCAAGGTGACTGTAATTTCGACATGTGGAATCCGTCGAGTCGGATTCCACATGTCGAATTGATTTTCATTAGCTCTTGGGGCGTATCGGGTCGTCATCTTCTCCGTCGCCAAGTTGACTCGCTCTCGTGCAGAACGGTGCATCACTTCATACCGGGCCTGGATATTTTGTACGTGTTCTTCAGGCGATGAAGGTGACCAAACAAGACATCACATGGAAGACGAGTATCACGACCGATGAGCATCTGGCATGGAGAATAGCCGGTAGTCTGTGTTGTTTCTCTTCCACCCTAGTATGATTTCGGCAGCTTTCTGAGCAGGGTCTTTCAGACAAGATGTTGACGTTTCCAGGTGAGAATGCCTTCTGAGGATGGATAGTTATGTCCTCTAATTCTGAAAGCAGTCTGTTGTTTTTGAAGTCTAAGGAAAAATTGTATTTGCTTAAAAAGTCCAATCTGAGTATTCATGGATCTGTAATATCCGCAAAATATGCAGTGTGGTGGTAGGCGGCACTTCCAAACAGGATGTTCACGTTTAACTTCCTAGCTATGTTGATCCCAGTGTGATTGTAGTATAGGAGAAAGGCCTTTTCGTCGAATCAGATTCTATAAACATTCCTTGTCACCTTCGTTTGAATCGATGTCCTGTAGCTCTCGTGTCATATCGGGTTTTCATCTTCTCCAGTCTTCTCCATCACAAAGTTGACTTGAAGAAAAGTGCTTCACGAATCTCATGTAGTGGGTGCAAATCCCCAGGAAACTTCTCAGCCGATGGACATTTCCAGTGGAGCTCCAATCTTTAAATACCAGCACTTCTTCTAAA